TTAAACGGTGGATGATAGCCACGTTTTGTTTACAAACCACACAGGTTCAAGTCGATTGGGAATAATTTAAATTGATAAAAATCCATCCATTCTGGGAGAAATTGTACCATATTAGTAATAATTTATGTACGTATTTAGAGGATCTGTAAAAAAATTTGTCACCGGTTGGTGATTTTGTTGTATCTAAAAGTCGCAAAATAACGTTCTCCCTTTTGATAGATACCCAATAACCAATAGAAAACAGTTGGCTAACATTTGGCCACTCTCTTGTTATACATTTTCGACTCTCCTCGCAAACGTAATTATTATTGTCATTATATTTTTAAGTGGACGTCACATGCAAATAATATAAGGGATCATCGAAACGAAAGTGTCGATTTCACACATTTAATTATACATTTTAGTCCGTTGAAGATTTATTTAAGCACGTTTAAATTAAACCACACAACCTTTCCCTTCTCGTCTACGAAAGATGCAGATTACAATAATTTCTCTATTTTAATGACGATTATGCGTATATATTTAACTAATAATAGTTCAAGAATTGTTTGGAATAAAAGTCACTACAGTTTCATCTCGAACGTTCGAATAGATACCTATGATATTACATGATTTATATATAATAATAATAAACCGTATACAAGCTCGGAAAAGAAAGTGTTCAGTACATATAATGTTTACGCACTGGTGCTACAGATGCAATAAGATGGATAAGAAATAATACAGCGATGAGGGAACGAGGGACACGGAAGAATTTCTTTACTGTAATTAGAAGGTTATTTAATAGACAAATATCGCGGTTTTCAATGTTAATCAGTAATTAATTAGTAATTACCCAAGAAAAATTGTAATCATATCTATTGTAAAACGATTTCGTTTCAAGTCTTGTTTGGTTTACAATTTGTAAAAGTATTATAATAACGACAACACGTGACATTAACACTATATTCCATGATTAAATATTTTTAAAAGAGCAGTCACCAGCACTTGATTTCTATATATGTGTATATTTTTAACTAACAGAAAGAACAATAGTCCAATACGTCATACTCGTAGAATCGTAGCATATCTATATATCTATATTTCAATGTAATCAAATTCGATCCTGTTTAGAGTCATCACATACGTGTCCTATAATACAATAAATGTAATAATAATGTAGTCAAAACATACTTGACGCATGAACAACGTTATAGACGAAAATTGTTGTGCAACTGTTTAGCCGATTGAATACAAATCAAACGAGACGAACCTCGAAACAATTTTAGCCGGTGGAAATTTATAAAAATATATTACTATAATGTATTACATGATACAATTTAGTTCGAAACGATTATTTGTTAAAAAGGAATTAATTTTAATGCATATGGTGAGGTTAAGTTGATTTTCTACAAAAATTAACAGTTTTTCCCATTTATTAAGAAAACTTTAATGAAAATGATCAAAAAATGAACCACTAAATATACCAACTATATCAAAAATGTGACGAGTAAGTTTCTGTACAATTTTTGATTGGAACAAAATTTATGATAAAAAAATTGTTTTTGTTATTTGTTATTTTTTTTTTACAGTCACGGAAAAATCACATCGTACTACCATAGTAAAATAAAACCATACTTCGCTTCGCTCAGAATCTAAAACATCTGGATAAATATACAATGATTCCTATAACAAATAAATACGAATCCCCGGTAACCGATTGTTTTGTGCCCAATGGCTATCCAGAGACATTCTGGGATCCTTTTTGGCACCAAGTCGATTCAAATTTACCGCGAAATATTATGATATCCATCCTTCCCCCCCTAAGAATAGTAACACAAATCAAAACATGAACATTTTGGAAAATCTACTTTTAATTTTCCATAATTCTTGATAATTTTCTAAAATTATACCTATGTAAAACTGTTACTTTTGAGATACAGTTAGAAAAATCTTGTTTTGTTATAACCACATTATTTTGGTCAGAATATAATCTCATATTAGAAGTGTCAATATTAACGCTAGAAACTAAATTTTATTTTAAGCAGAATAAAGATCCCAAATAGTTTAGATACAGGCAAAGAAAAAGAAGAAGTAGAATAAAGACATTTGAGCTCATACTGTTTTTAATATTAAATAAATTTAAATAATTCAAGCATACTAAATGATAAAGGATTCTGCATACTTTGATATTAATAAATCGGAAATCGTATTTTTAGAGTTTTATCACCTTCAAGGGTATGGTATTATTATGAGCTGTTTGTAAGAACTTGCCTGTACCTAACAACTATACGCCCACCCTACTGGTGGAAAGAGGGAAATAGGAGGAAAGTACCAAAAACAGTGGCGTAAATTGGTCTCGACTGGGTCATGATGCAGTACCTAATAGTTTTCTACCCCATCAATTTCTCGGTAAATCTCTACCCAATAAACAATTTAATTTATACCTTTAACAATTTTAGATTCTGAGCGAAATAATGATCTTATAATGATGCTAATTAATTAATTTTTTTTATTTGGTAACAACTTTTCTACCAGAAATTTTGCTCCGATTTTGAACTCTAGTAACATTTCTAAAAACATTTTTATCTGGGTGATACTTTAAGATGGTAATTTTTTAATATTTCAGGTGGCTTTGAAAATAATTGGGAAAAACTGGGAGAAAACGAGACAATTTACAAAATTAATTGTTTTCAATTTTTTATTTTGCTGTGATTCAGTTAAAAATATTTTTACAGACTTGCAATTTTCAAGAAAACCTTTATTGGCTTTTTATAGACGTGGTAAAATTTTCAAGAAGTGTTAGGTATTTTTGAGCTATTTATAGAAATTTTAATTTTGCGAGTTTGTTGCGTAATATTTATTCGATAAGTACTCTAGGAGACACAATTGTTAGGTCAAACCGAAATCCTTGAAAATTAAAAAAGGTGGTTCATTATAAGTTGTACTTCGTGATCAATAAGAAAGAGTTGAGTTTAATTTAGTATTTTTTTTTATATGAATTTTAATATCAAATGTTGACGAAAATCGTAAATATTACGGCCTTTTAAAATATATATAACCGTTCTTAGAATCGGTTTTTGTTGGCAATGATTAATCGTTTTATATACAAAAATAAATTAAACTCCTCTCTATATCATACCTTACCGACTTCTCACCTACAATAGTGGCTCAGCGATTGTGCGAAGTCAATCAGTCTCTTTAAACATTTTTTTTATAAAACTCAATTGTTTAGACATTGGACAGCAAAAACTTTATTAGTTATTAAATATTATATTTAATATGTGGGGTGAGCATAGTAGTAACAAATCTGTGTAATACCAGTATAATATCTAATTCATTTGATGCCTACTATTTTGTATGTACCACACGGTTACACATGGCAGCTTTACCATCATAGAAAAATATATTTTTATTAAATGGTAAATAAATATCTACTTTTAAAAATAAAAATTTTAGTTAAATATTTCTACAATTTTTCAAAATAGTCTGGTAGTGAAAGTGCTACATTTGCCTAATTTACATTATTGGTTCTAAATATAAACCTTAATCTTAAACTTCCTGGGAACTGGTTATTTCGGCACGATCAACCTTCTAATATTTCCCTCCACCTCCTCTTAATCTGCTTCATATTCCCAAAACTATGAAATCACACCTCTTCCCCAACTTCCTATCCCAAACCCATCCTTCGATAATTTATTGGTGTGTAAGTATAAGACAAATGTAATCTTTAAATAACGAACACTCCGTCACAAAAATGTTGTTCACTATTTGGACGAGGTTAAATTTTTTCATGTATTTGAGTCAAAATATTATGTACCTGTATTATTTAGATCCCTATTTAAAAATAAATGTTGAAATAAAATATTTGTAATTATAATTTACATAATTTATTACTAATCACTACATACTATATCATAACGTGCTTAAACCAGGCCCATCGTTAGGGTACAAGCAAGTCATGTGTTGCTTTAGGGTGGCATACAATTTTAAAGAAATTGAAACAGCAAAACGAAATTAATTATCGTCAAAAAAATCAGGCAATAAAATATTCGCTTTAGGTCTACAACATCTTACAACGGTTCTGGCTCAAACATAAATAAATAACGAATACAATGACCACTAATATTCAAGCCTCGAATTTTATTCTTTCTCTGTACTACCCTCCCTCTTCTACTTCCTTACTTCCTAGTTTAAAAAAAAAAAGCCTCCTCTGAATTCCAACTGATACGAATGTTATGATAATAAACGCAGGAAGACTAGAGAATATTTCTACGTCATATTATTATTATACATTATAGTGTCAGTGGTTCACGTAACGGTATCGTCTAACACAGAGAGGGCAATCAACTCTCGCCGGACGAATAAAAACAAAACAATCCTTATTCCGCAAACGTTACAGTTCTTCCTCCCTGGTTTAAGCTGCAGACGACCCCGATGGCAAAAGAGTCTACTATATTTTTTTTATTTCAAGTTTAATTCTTTTTTGGGACACGATATGAGACCACTCAACGATCGCGAACTGTCCGCAGCAAGCTTTTAGAAAACGCGCTAGTCCAACAATTACATATTCATTTTATGTGCTTATTGATTAGCCGATACTCTTCAAGTACTTTGCCGTAATATTTGTTTCAACGTAATAAATGTAAATTTGTTTCGCTGACTGATTTTCAATACAGAAAATAGAATATACCCCACAATAAAAATCTCTAGAGTTAAAATAACTCTACTGTTGGGATGCTAGCGATAATGTACGGGTTTGAGTGTCAGAATAAAAGACATTTTTTACAAAGCAAAAATGTGAGTAGCAAAAATGAGTATGTTTAAGTGAATATTAATGGTGTAATCAGTTAATGGAAAATGATAAGAAAAATAAGCTAGAGGTTATTGTAGAGAGAATATGAGTAATCAGTAATAAATAAAGAGACGTGGAAGAACAGTTGAAATAGTTTGTCAAACATAATAATAAATAGAATAATATTAAATACTTTCGTATTTGGTTGTAATATATTTATATAATGGTCAAATTAATAAATTTAATTTGGAATAAAACGATTCGTCAAGCATGTCCGGTGTTTAAGTACAAACAAGAATATAATATTAATGAATTTTGTATTATTATTTCAACTATTAAACCATTAAATTGCATTCGAAATATCACATCTGCTGTAGGTGGTGTTTGAAGTTAAAGATTATCGTTTCCTCAAATTATTTCTTCTCGCCATTTAATTTAAAATGTTTACATTAATTTGTAGATAATATATTCTCTATACTTTCTTGAACAATTCGGATGCATTAAATAATTTCAAAAAGGTAAATTATAATTATATATAATATAATATATTACAATTAAGTATTAAACACAATTCAGTAAAAAAAGTAATAGTACAAATAATAATGAACAATAATAATTATGCTAAAAACTTATCCAACTATAAAACAAAAATAATAACTTTATATTAAATTTTTATTTAATATACATTACATTACGATTTTAACCAATGCTTAAATCAGAAAAAATTAGGAGGACGCAAAAAAAGTGTAAAAAAAGTGCGTACCTGAAGATTTAAATGTCATTATGTCCATTTCATATCATTTAAATATTATAGTCCATTATGAAAAATTAGAAGGGGTACGCTAAAATATTTAAAAAAAAATAAGAGATACTCCATCCCCCGCGACTCCATTCCCCCAATTCAAGCACTGGTTTGATTGCGATTAATTAGTTGCTGAAGAAAGTATCTGCTGATACGTGCGTCAGTAACTGGTTGACTATCCTTTTGAAAATCGCTGCCAATTTGACGCGGAGCTGAGGCATCATGACTTGTAGTACTTCTTGGCCGTTTTCGCGCAGAAATAAGTTCGTGGCTTCGACTAAAACAATATGCCATAATGTTACACAGTATTATACATATTATATAACGTCACAGTAAAACAAAATAATTATTTTAATCGAGAAATTAAAAAATAAAATCACAATACTAGAACAATAGTGTTTAATAAAATGTATTAAAAACCATTCTTGTATCATATGTTTTTTTTTTATGTTTCTAAATCGTTTCGATTGAGATATTTTTTATAATAATAGATCCCTAATCAATGAACCCGTTAGATAAAACTATATAAGTTATATTTGCAATGTTGTACTAATATATTATACATTTTGATAATTTTAATTTTTAATTTAATTTAAATATTGTGGACACTTTTATATTTAAAAGTACATTTAAAAGATATTAAATTACTATATCCGACCAATTATAATTGTTTAAAATTTATATTAGCTTAATGATTTAATGATTTAGTTGAAAAATATTGCGTAAAAATATTTTAAAGTAAATATACTGTGTGGTTGAAACACTCCCTTTGAATCGTTAAAAATGTTAATTAAATTTAAAATTAGAAATTTAAATTAGCTGATAGGTAATACTATTATTGAATAAACTGTGTTCTCGGGTTTTAAAAATGACAGAACACTATTAATTTTACGCTTGTAAATAAAAACGTGTTTCTATACTCACCGATTATCCTGTTGTTGGTAACTTTGCTGACGACCATATAGGCTTTCTTTATTACTAAATCCACTTCCAAAACGTCCAAATTGTAATATTCTTCTGAATCTTTCTGATAACTTGACAGAACTCCTCTGGCCGTGGCCGTAATATCACCTGTAAAATAAAAAAAAAATAGTTAATGTTTTAGTACTGACAATGTTTTATAGTGTAGACAGGTTTAAAGAAGATTTATTATCAGGTATATAGATACGTTTAATAAACATAAAATTATATTCTTCTTAAAACCAGATTTAAAACTAAGTCATTTTTGTCTGACAAGTGACAATATCAGAAAAGTCTTGTGCATCTGTTCACATATGGTAAAAAAACCGTATTATTACTTACTCGTTTTATTCCTGTACAAATGTTTACTCATAAAACTACATATTGAAGTCCTTGTTAAATGTATTTTAATATTCAATCGAATGAATTGGTAAGCAATATTAATTTATTATTTGTACACGCGATCGAAAACTAACCTTGTCCTGAAATCGTGTCATTTTATTTTTATTGTTGGTAATTTAAACTGACTGACGTGTACACGGAGGATTTCCCACGTGACGTTAATTTGTTACACAATAATTAATAGTTTTGTGTTCATTTTAAAAGCCATTGTATCATGTTCACGACAAGGTATCAACAAAATAATCGTCGATGGATTACAGTAAATAAAACAAATCCTAAAACGAACTATTTTGTACCAGGGCCTGAACTCTAATACGAATTAACGATTGAGAACCGAAAATCGAATAAAAGTCTACGGCAGCCCAGTGGCGACTGGTAAATTAGATTAGGTTACATTAGATCCGGATTTTTCTCTAAAAATAAACAAAACCAATTCAATTTTAAAATCGAATAATATGTTTATGAGTATTTGGTGGTCTATCTTATCCAAATATAATAATATATCGAGTTTAATTAGAAACAATTTCTACTAACTACGTCAATGTGGTGGCCGTGTTCCCGACTAACGTGTTTTTGTTTAGATGCATCGCAAGCGTGCTTAATGTGCGTATATCAGATCAGTTTTTATACGTTAAATAATATCGCAAAATGGGAAATCAACCGATCAAACTGCAGCAGATGAACGATGAGAAAGTAACGGTACATTTGTATGTAATTGGTTCGTGCGAATCGTAATATAAAAGAATTGAAAAGACTATTACGGATTTAATATTATTATAAAATATATTCTGATGTTTTGATCACACATAAGCAATCGGTTGAACGCGGTTAAAATAATAACACTACTATTCTAAGTACTAACATTGCTGCTCATCCAGTGAAATACAAACCTAAATCTGCGTGGAAAGTTCCGTTTCCGTTAGCTGGCAACACTAACAGTACTCCGGTGCTGGCGTATTTGGCGTCCATCGTCATTTTTGGAATTTTTATTTTACCTTCAAACGGCAAATTCGGACGCATTCTATAAATTAAAACGAATAATTTTGTGAGAACAAATTATATTATTCGAAAATAATATTGATACAACAATATGTTTGTCAATAGGTATTGCGTACTAAATTTATATTTAATAAAACTTTCGGGCAGAGTAATAACTGGATTTCATCGAACAAACCGGTATAATTGGCAAAGTGTAAGTAGTAAAATATGAGATTCGTCGAATATTATGAATTATGATTTATTATAATTATATGTATTTTTTTGTATTGTCAATTTCACATAAAATAATTCATCATTTAAGTGCGTTTATTTCGACTATTACTATCGTTCAGTGTTCACTTATTTTGCTAGACAATCTAATAAAATATATACTCGTAAAATTTCGCCTTCCTAGTATGTCAGAGAATATTTAGTTAGTCTGTAATAATAACTCGCGAGTAATGAAATTGCATATCAATAACGCCTTGAGTTGATAGTTTTAAATATTGTGGTCAATATCATTATTGAATTCTCTGGTTTGGTGCAAGGAAGGACAATGTCATATTTTGTAATTGTTGATATATAGGTTTTGAAATTTAATTCCCCATAAGGTTCTGTATATTTTATTAAACGTAAATGTTTGTGTAATTTTTCAATTTTTAAAAAAACTTAAAAACTTTTCATTTAGAAAATAAAATATTCAACACTTTTTTTTTTTTACTGATTTTTTGAAAAAATTGACAATGGCCCTTGTTGCGCCAAGCCACAGAATTACTTTTAACGTTTTATTAAAATAGTTTTGTTTTTTCGACATTGACCCGTCGAAACCATTATAAAATGATAGTATTCGGTCGGATAGGTACTCGAAAATATTACACAAAATAAAATACAGTGTACACACATATTTATATGTATACGATATTTTTACTAGCAATATGTACAGGATTTCTGCTGGTAAGAAAGTGTCGTTTAGTTCAGTAAATCTAGTAAACCAGTATACTATTATCTTGCCCGCGAGATAGTGAGATTTTTAACGCTTTGAACAATATTATAGTTGGCTGTTTTACTAGTGGATTCATGAACATTGTATACTCTAGTTTTACCTTTAGCTCATCGTTGTTTATAAAACTAACTGAGCGGTGTTTATAAAACTGAACAGATTTGATAAAGTCTAATTTTACAACTAAATCGTTTGTTCGTGATTATATGCATTACACGAATAAACATAACAATATCACAACCGTTATAAAATAACAACAATAATGGAAATAATAGACTTTTGTCTTAAAATCAACAACTTAGCGCGGTCGAAAAACGATTTACAGTAGGTATACGTTATAATAAAGTTATTATATTGTTATACGAACGCAAAGACGGATGACTATTGAAATAATAAAGTGTACTGAGTACTAATATTGTAAAGACATTAAATAGGTACCTAACTATTGTTTTAAATATTGCATACATTTTCAATTAGGTAAACAAATTTATTATTATAATAATTATTGTATTATTCATTCGTTGAACTTGACACTACGATTTACTAGATAAAAAAAAAAAAAGTCACGGCCATCACTTAGAAAAGGACATAATATCATAAAACAGTATTAATGATAGACTGTCGGTTTTCATGTGCGCAGTTAATTAATGTTGAGAACACTTTTTCCCCGTCGGGTCAATGTAACTATTCAATTAATTGAGACGTGTGTTTTTACGTTCCTTTTTTTTTACTTTTGCATAGAACATCATGGTTGTAGCATTTATAGCCCGCGAGTACAGCGGTTGTTAGACTTACAATATTTTTTGAATAGAGAAATTGCTGGCCCCGTACAGGTCGATGTCCCTCAACGTAATCTTGTATCCGTTGGATCCACCGGTGATTGCTAAACTCAGTGAATCCATTCTAAATGGTTCCACGGGTGGCAGTTCGATTTCGTTGATTCCTAAATAAAATATTATTTTTCAGTTAAATTTAATAATATAGGTACCTACTCAATTATCATTGAATTATTCACTATAATTTTTTCACAATATTATAATCGTACAACTATTTCCCATACATCGAATCACTTCTTTTTTCTTTTTTTTTTCACTAGCTTTACGGCTCATTGAGACAACCTTTCGTTCGTCTCTAATATACGTTTCACAATCAATATTTCTCATTTTTGTCAGGTCTTTTTTAAATCCGGCCAACCAACATTTTTCGCATGTCCTTTGCTCTTTTACTCGTTTGTCTCCACTCTATGTAACTGCTCTAATTCCGTTTTTCTTTTCGTTGCGCATTGCATGTCTAAACCACGCGAGCCGTGATGGACATGTTGAATGTTTACACCTACTTGAGATTTAAAAAACCCAGGATATTTTTTTAAACGAAAATCGCTGTCGTGTTGTTTAAACATGAAATTGTTCCGTTTGTTTTTAAATTGCTCGTTGTTTTGTTTTTTTACTAGACAACGCGATAACACTATACTGTTATTGCATGCACACACGACCCGTAACTGGTATTTTATATAATATTGCGGTGCAAGGCGCAAGTGAAATTTTATTTTTCGCGATCGTGGAAATTTTACACTGAAACAGTGAAACCATTATACATATAATAGTATAATACTATAATGAAATTGTATACAATGTTGTCGTTGGGATTTCATCGAAAAAAAAAAAAAAAAATAAATAATAATAATAAATGAATAAATAAAACGACATTTTCTCGACGGTTATAATAACAACTCTTGGTGACACGCGGCGACATAGGACGCTCGACCACGGTGGCACGCAGTGAAGTTGTCGGGTACCCGCGACATTGACCGCGTTTCATTTCACGAGCGTTACGACACGATGATAATATTGTATTTATAATAATAGCCGACGCGCGTGTCTAATAATAATAATAATAATCATAACAAGAGTGGATGACCCGTATCTTCGTTGACGTCGTCGTCGTAGGTACCGGAGGCCGATTAAATACAATTAATGTGTTGTTTATAATGCACTATCTTTGGCCGTCCCGGCGAAGAAAGGCTCGAGTCAATTTTCGGCATTTTTTTTTTTTTTTATGTCAAGTAGGGCAGAAATTTACATACGCAAGTATTTTGCATTTAATTATTTTTAAATATAATATAATGGATATTTTATAAAAACCACTGGGAATTTGTACACAATACGCGCGATATTTTATTGTTCTATGCATTGTACTGATTGATTATAAACTATCCCATATTTACAATGAATTAAGGTTTATACTTTAAACATTTGATTAAATTATCAATTGAATTTAATCGATAAATTATTACCCAGCATTTAGTCCCGGATATTTAAATTATGGCAAAAAAATAACTCTATAACTTTTATTCCAATTTAAGTTACTAATTTTCACTAGCTAACTTCTAACAAACTAAGTTAGAATTTTAGGAAATTTCAGTAAATAACTTCTATTCCGACTTTATTACTTTTCATACTCTTACTTAACTTCAACTAGTTAGTTATCCAGTTTTGAATATTTACTTACACACTTGTTCCCTGGGATCAAAGATATAACAGACGACAAGTATTACACATAGTTCCGGACGCATGAAATAGAAAAATTATAGTTTACTAAGAACAATAACGAGCCGTGCCGTTTATATGTTGAAATTAGAGTTTAAACAAAGATTGACAGTAATTGTTAAGAGATGATTTTTCCGAGGGCAGTATCTGCCTACGTTTCCGTGCTTCTAATAGCAATTGTGAGGAGAAAAAAAATTGCAGTAATTTAAAATAACACCCTCAACAAACTCGGCTGTAACTTTTTTATTATTTTTTAGAAAAACAGAAACTCAGTAATGACTAGTCATTACTACCAGCTCGAAAATAGTATCCTCTTTAAATTTTGTAATACATTATTATGCTTCCTCGTCATCAGTAAAAGTGTTCGACGTACATTTCTACCTTATAATATATAATCATATCAAAAATTGTGTATTACCTTCTTTCAAGTACGGTCTTAAATGATTGATTGCCGTAGCTAAACATTCGTGTAGTTTTGGATCGTTTCGTATACATTGTTTTATATACGGCGCTGAAAAAAAAAATAAAAAATAACACATATTTTAAACAGGCGAACAATTATTTTATTATCACTTTATTTATTAGTTCGTCAGTTCAACATAACAGTTGAACATTTTTTTATCAACGGATTTAATAAATACGTGAAAGTAAAAATATCAAGTCTCGTATTTTCGAAGATTTTCAATAGGATATTCGAATCGATTAATTATGAATGCAAATATATAACAACTAATGTGTTACATATATAGTTAAATTTTATCGATGAAAAAATACCCGACAAACTAGTATCTACGTGAATTTTATTATTATTATTATTATTTTTGTGCATGTTTTTTTTTTTAATTTACACCTAATATAAATTTACTTGTGATTTTATTTGGGTCGTCTCCGCCGTTTATTCTTTGATAATATTTAAATTATAATTACACTTCGGGTTATATTGTATAAATTATACGAACTATTTAGCAATAATATAAAGTAAGTATCGATACGTTCACTGAATAAGTGCCGATAATATTCGGTTCACAATCACTTGTTTGCTGCAGTTTAGGTTCTTGCCAATGAATTTTTAAAAACTTATTTCAACGTAGATGACTGCAGTAGGTAGGTGTATATTGAATTTGAAAACATTACAAATATTAGTAAGGACCATGTTTTCAAGAGGCACGCTTTATACCTTGGGCTAGTTTCGTCATTGCGGGTGGCCCAATACATATTTATGTCGTACATTTTTAATCAAAATATTTGATACTTAAACGCTAGATTATTAAAATAATCGACAAGTGTACTCTTGCAGCTAGTGTGCCGAACTATACAAAATTATAACGAGTATAACATTTGTTTGGGATCCATCTATATCACCTCATGAACTGGTAAATAAATGTATGAATGTACGTGTTTTTGAAACAAATTTTATCGATACTTTCGAAATAATTTATACTGTTAGGTACTGCTTGTATTTGTGTTTTTACACTTAAATGTTTAAGTGCAAGTCAATTAGATTTTTTTACTATACCATATTATAGCACCACATTATATTCGCTATGGTGGCTGTCATACTGCAGGCATAGTGGTAAGCGCCGCTGTCTCTTACAGAGTACCTATAGTTTTCGCAGTCGTTTTGATACCTATAGAATTTATCAATTTTTTTTCGGTGGTTTTTTATCGAAAATTGCTAATTTTCAAAATAACCTCTTTGTCGTCGTCAGTCGAAAATATTCGAAGTGTATCCGCGTAGGCAATGCATTTGCTCATATAAAAACGTAGAATGTAAAACACATAGATAAAAGTTTTTATATGCGGTTCCGATGCGTTACGTAAAATAATCAAAACGGGGAGACCGGTGATAGATCCTAATAACGGAGTATTAGGAACCTACCTACTTCGAAGCACTAGATTTACATTAAACAGACTGGGTTCATACCGTGAACAGTGTGGCACTCTGAGCATGTGAGAACGTGAGGTGATGAAGACAAACAACAAACCGTATAGAATAGGGATTCGAGGGATTACATTCAGAAACGGTAAACTGGATTATGGATATCGACATACAAGTTATATTATGCAACTAAATATTATGATTTTTTTTGAATATATTACTATTATAGCTAAGTTCACGCGTGCGTGATTGTTTGGATCGCGATGCGTGTCGGTTACACGGGTAGCGTTTAATAAACGCGAAAAAGCGAACCGGTTCACAGACCGACCTTCACGTCAAATGTATACAACGCGGTTTTGACGATCCGCGACAAAATACACCACCGCAAATATATTTGCATAATAAATTGTGTATCGACACACGCTCGGGGTATTGCACACAACTTTATTTATATAATATGTTTACGCACACAATCAACGTTTACCAAACACCGTTGGATGGGTTTCTTCATATTGCACAAGCGACGGATAGCCTTTTAATTTGTTTTCTGCCGGTTTCGCAAGTCTTTTACAATATTCCGTCGTCCGCGATTGGACACTTGTGCATGAAAATATTATCGGCCGTCCCTCGTTGTTTTTTTCCACATCTCCCGAACCGTCACTATTTCTTTGTGTAATCACTTCACACGCCTTTATCATATCATTACTGGTTTACTCGTTACATTATGATGGCTATAACCCCTAGTCACATTTAGCCTTTTCCTCTTCCTCGGCCGGTATTCGTTCACACGCGATTCCGTAGATCAAATAAAAAAAGTGGCAGTATGAAATTGTTATTAGGGTAGACACACAATGACTACATGACGGCATTATAACGAGAAGTATAAAAAGAAATGGTGATCTGGAGGGCAAAAATAAGACACTGTTAGTTGACCGCCGTGGCGTGTGAAGGAGAGAGGAGGTTATATCGACCACTATTGGCTTGAAAATACAACAACTGATATGAGTATGGTATTTGGTAATTATATTTTGAAGTTTATATTTCAGTCAAATTTTTGGATTTTGAATATAAATACTCATTTTCGGGTTCAAGCTATATGTGAGAAGAAGGTTCTATGGTTTATTTACTAATAATTATTATGACATCGTATTCCCGCAATGAAAATACCTAGACACGTCAGTGGCTGACCGAATTTAAATTTTATTTTGAATAGAACCGACGAAACAAATTCGGTAGAAATGCAATTTTTTCGAGTACAACATTATTGTAGATATCACAAATTTCATTTCGAATTGACAATAATTCTTCATAGGCACGGATGATACGAGCGATTATAGATTTTAAATGGATTGAAAGGAGGATGTGAAGGTGGACGTGCATAAGCTATGGAAATATTATAATTAAAATCGGACTGGTTGCAAAATGAATAAATATTGTTCGCGGGCCGTTTACTTATTTGCAGTTTTCAGGAGAGTGATAAGGATAGAAGACCGCTCACAGTCGCGGTCATCGACGCCAAATGTGATGTAACGACGGCGCTCGTCCGCGAGGTGTTCAATCAGGTCGATTCAAACGCCGGGCGACCGGTTTTCTAAACCGTTGCGGTTGTTTATTTATTTTTTCATAAGTAATAATAATAATTATAATTATTACATTTTTATTTACGTCGACGATTTTAACGTTCAGTACCGCCTGTTGTCTGTAATATAAGTGTATCTCGTACCCCCGAAAGAATAGGACTCGGACCTAGCATACGGGGTAAAACGTTGGGCAAAAATCGTCGATCATGCACGGTCGGCATTTCTCCGGTTTTTCACCATTTCGCCGTTCGGCCGTTGTACACGGCTGCAACACGTCTGAACGGGTCAATAAACGATCGGAGGCCGTCAAGTGTAAACACGAGCCGTCCACTGCAGTACTTGTCTACGCGTCACTGCGAAGTCGGCAAATATTTTCGTCGAAACTCACGTCGTGGACAGACGTATGGAGACCTATGTCTATGCGGTTTATTCCGGACATAATATGGCGAATTGGTGAACCCTAGGGCCAGGACTAATAATTTCCAACTGGGCCGCGGTTAAGAAGTGAAACATCGCGTAAACAACTTTAGGCACGTCGTTATAGTAATATACGCACGTAAATGCAGTGTGTGTCACCGGAGAAGTATTATGTAATTTGTGTAACACGAAGACAGTATAGTAAGTTGTTGTGACCCACTTGCCGTTTTTCCACTCTCACTAGCTGGCGCTCGCGGTGTCGTCTACGAAAACAGGTTATCACCATCGCGCGCGTGCAAAAAAAAATTAAATAAATAAATAATAATAATAACATAAAAAAACAAAGAGTTCGTAACGAATCTCCCGTACCAAATTCGAAGCATATTTTTTTTCCGCGGAGGGTTGGATGATTTGAGATTTCGATATATTTTATAACTAGCTCATAGATTATAGTTTATTATGCTTTGTTCACGGTACTAAATAATAATCGAAAATCTTTTTTATACATTAATACGATTCAAGAATGCTTTATAGATGCTTTTTAGACGCCTGATTACGATCACGTCATAAAGCAATATGTAATATAGTAAATCGAAATCAACTTTTGAAAACATCGTGTAAATGAAACGTTCGTCGAACATTGAAATCGTTACGTTCGTTAACCGTGCAACTTCAGCACATATATGTGGTACTGTATAAAACACAATAGGGTACTTACGTATGACTTTTGATTTTCCGGCCGCCTGAACGTACAACACGGCCACGGCCAACACGAACATTTTCTGCAGACAGTCGATCATCGTGGGACGGTGGCGCCTGTTGTGTATAGTTTAGGAACAATGACGATCTGTACGCACGAGGCGAGTGGAAATTATTCGAGATAAGAAAAAAAAAATTAAAAAAAAAATATATATATATGTATACTATATCGAATAAGGAAACTGAAAAGTAATGAAAACCGTGTCGACAAAATATACAAATATTATTATTGTTGAACGGTGGTGGCAGTGGCGTGTTTGGCAGGTGACGTTCGCAGACTCGGCCGGGGCAGTGGCTAAGAAACGGTTTTATTCGGTCGCCGTGCCCTCGGAGGATCCCTACCAAAACGCGCGTGTATCGAAAACCTTACTCGTCCGTACAGTCGCCCGTATACATAATAATAATGTACACCGCACGAGCCGGTTCGCGTGCGTTAATCATTATTATTATTATTATTGTTTTTACTGTTATTGTTGTTATCATTGCGCGGTTTTTTGTTTGTTTTTTTTTTTCGTTATGCGCGCGCGCTCGAGGAAACTAGTCCGCGGTGGACACGCCAAAGTATGCAAAATACGCTCGCGGGGTGCACGCCCGTGTCAATGTCCGCCTGCAGGGGGCGTCAAAGGCCGACGACGCGCGCCGACCCTCCGGCGATCGATTGGAAAACAGACCGAACCCTTGGATTTCTATAGTCCCCCTACTCCTATAACGCCAAACGGTACATTTTACTGTTACACACGGTGGGCAAACACGTTTTCCCCATGCAAATATGCCGACCCAAGCTTACACCGATATATAAATTAAAAAGACTAGTGCGACATGTACGGTTATAGGTTAGAGTGTTGTAATACCATATGCCGTATTATTGTAATCTATATATGCGTTCTATATTATATACTATTACACGAAATTAATCTTTTCGTCGTGAACCGGACGACCAGATCGTGGAACTCATCCAGATGTTTGTATTTATTTTTATTTTTTGGATTCAGTGTGTGATGATAATAATATTTTGGTTTTTTACTATGTGTATTTTTTTTTCTGTCCGCGAACAACTTTTCTGTGGGAAATTTTGCTTCCGTCGTAAAAACTAAAGGCGGTTTCTGGTAAAAAATGTTGTCTAGTTTGAGTATTGTACAGGTCATTATTTAATATTTCTTGTTGTTTTCTTAAAAACACGAAAAAACCTGGGGGAGAAATTCGGAAAATGGATTTATCGCAATAACGGTTTCTGTTATTTGTTTTTCTTACAAATCAATGAAAAAATGTTCGAATTTTTTTTAAAAAGTTAAAATTTCAAATCTTAAAATGAATGAAACAAATAAATGAATGAAAATTGTAAAAATTACGACATTTTACGTTCTATTTTTGGATCGATACGATTTACAACTTTTTGGCTCCATAAAAATGCTCAAAAATTTGAGACTTCCAAATTTTTTAAATTTACCTCCTCCATAATCCATAATTTCCTGCATATTCCTGTACTTCCTGTAATGTATTCCTGCATTTACTATACCGTTGCTGCCCTAATTGTCTCGTTTATTCCTCTCCTTATTATGTGACCTAATCATATTGTATCCTTTGTCTTTTAACGAAGCGCGTCAATAGTTCAGATTCACCAAATCGTTCATCTCTCTGTTGAACACAATTTCGCTAGTTTCACGTTGCTTAATCGAAATAATTAGTGTGCCGGGTATGGCGAACCCGGAGCTCCGATCTCTGGTCTTCCAGATTAGGGGTTAAGAGTAGGGTTAACAACTATATCTAGTAAAAATAAAAAATAATGTTAAAACTCGGACGAGATTATACGTATTATTAAGACTGGTGAAAATGACAAACACTACAATAACAATGCAATTCATATCGATATATTAAAACCACTCTACGACAATATAACCAATGCCGTGTCATCACGATAATGATGGAAAAAAATCGGGTGATGTCGATTAACAAGAGATTCACTCGAAAAACATGTTCACTCCCTGGTATTTCAGTACAAACACATTGAAGACTTCAGGCTGTTGTATTACAAAATATAAACAATATTATTATTAACCACTGTCGTTTATCAAAGATTTTGTAAGCTGCAGGTATGCACTACTATATAAACACCGGTAATATACAATTATTCGATACTCGCAGTATAAGTAGGCAGTATATGTAGTATTGACTTTAATATAATAATAAATAACAGGTACTCTATGTACGTAGGTAATGATTAATGTATGATGTATAATACTATGGTTGTGCGTTATACTATATATTATAATTAGATACTCGAGGCGAAATTATAATTTAATTTAATTTTGTGTGATGTTATTTGTTAATTTTTAAGCAAGTACTCGGCAATTACTAATAACGAGATTTTTTTTTTTTTTTTTACTACGTTAATATTTATTAATATATGTATTGGCGTGCCATGTGATTATTATATCGCACTATCCTATAAATTATAATGCAATAGATAATATCGCATTTCACGGGTGATGAAAAAATTTTTTGACAAGCCGACTCGTATAATATATTATATTATTATACCATACACAATTCGGTAAAATGATTTCAGAATGGAAGCCTAGCGGGTGATATTTCGTTCAACTATTATAACGATGTGTCATTCAAATTCTCATGAGCGAACGAGAGTCGAATACTGTATATCTACGATCAGTGATCAGAATCATTCGATTCGTGATATACATTTCTATAGCGCTGTGCTACACATATTACTCAATGCCATACGAAAATATTTAGTAATTACTATACAAGTCCCGAAGCCCGAATCCTGCACAGAGTTATTATATTTATTATTCGATAATCTGGTTTCCGATAGAATCTATGTGGAAAATTTTCGTAATTTGTCCGTCGGATCTTAGATTTACCAGGCTCTTAGAAGAGTGCCCCGTATTTCTAGGGCAGAGAAAAAAAAAGACCGTCATTATTCGCGTTTAGTATGATATTTTACACAAAAAAATCGTGCGGATGTTTTTAAATATTTGTGTGGTTTAGGCGGCTAAGTCCGGTGTAGTTATTCGACGTATACTTAACATTCTACGTTAAAATGGAGGGGAGTCATCGGCGTATTTGATTAGTGCGATAAAAATAATAATATAATAAATGATTAATAATTAATAATAAAATGCGAAATTAATAATATGTTCGTTGCATAACGGCGTGCCGTAGGCGATTGATCCGATGTCGAGTCTCCACGGCGGTGGCGGCGGCGGCGGTCATTACACTTTGCTAACCGTGCATTCGTTTGGCGCCACAGCTGGTGGACGCCAGTAGGACAACTAATAACTCCCAACTTGTAGCACGTATAATAAAAATAATAATAATAAGGGGACCGCGTTTTTCTGTTTTTTATTTTTTTTACATTTTCGTATATTATCAAATTCGTATTGTCCTATATGAAGTCACTACATGTATTAAAATGAATCAGGATTCTCTACGAATCCGAAAATTCAGATTTCAGACGATATACCAAATTTCTTCTTTTTTTTTTCCATAATCATATTATCAGGTTATAGACAAAATTGTCTTTCGGAAAAGATTTTACTATGAAAATTGGGAGCGAGATTTCCGGTAGACAACGAAAATCGTTACAAAACAAAACAATGGAATGCGAACGCCAAAAATATTTATATATTTTTTCTATACGTTTTTTCAACTATTTTGAAAACCAGTTAGAAAATCAAAAAATAACCCCATCATACACTATTAACTAGGAAAAAAAAAATGCAAGAACAAATGTTTCTTGTGTCATTTTTTGATTGAAGCAAGATTTCGTGAGAAAAATTGTTCACGAATAGAATAAAACACATATTATAGTCGAACCAATATATTTTTCACTAAGTTCATAATCTATTAGTTGAACGAAGATATCTTTTTCGTATGAGCGATTTACGTTCAAGTTTTGACCAAATTGTAAGTCATAGTATTTCAATACACGACTAATTGAACATTGCTCAGAATCGTTAGCAATGTACTTATAATGCATTGGTTTTAAATTGTTCTGTTTTTGAAACCGTTTATACTAAAAGAACGGTACCTATGCATACACGATTGCACCCGATGCACCGATTTTTCTATGTAAATATAACCATTAACCATCCAAACTTATCAAAAATTAAAAAGACTTATACGGTTACAGGTTAGAATGTTGTAACACCATATATGCCATATAAACTATAAACATTCTATGAACTATTATATAAAACTAATCTTTTCGTTATGAAATGGACAACAGGGCCGGATTGAAACTCTAAAACTAATCGTGTTCAGCAATTTTACTACCTGACAGAACCTGACAGTTTAGTAATTAGTAAATGTGCACATTTGGTCTTTTTTAAAAGTAAACTTGTGTTGGGAAATTATATTATATTTGTTACAAATTATCATAAGTAATCGAAAAAAAAAAAACCCAAAAATTTAAAAACTAAATGGTACACCAATTAAATCTCTAATATTTAAATATGCCTTTAAGTCAAGCTCCGAGTTTTTAATAGTTTGGTTTTTTAACACATTTAATATAATATTAACTACATAAATTTAAATATATTTTTGTACATACATTTTTTTTTAAGAGCACAATTTAAATTTACCGTTGAATACATCACAGTATATCCGAATAGTTTTCGTTGTTTTGGATCCTTTATAGCTTTTCCAAAAAAAAACAAATTTTTTTTTATTTTAGTCTTCAAATACGTACATGTTACATTCAAATTCAAAAATAGTAAAAATAATTACAAAACAATTAAAATTGTAAAATTTAAAATTTGCTGGCGGCCCGGTAGCTCGCCGACACAATTCGTGTCTGTCGGACAACCAGATCGTGAAATTCATCCAGATATTTGTATTTATTTATACTTTTCAAATTTAGCGCGTAGCACGAATAATAATATTTTCGTTTTTCACTATGACGTGTATTTTTTTGTCTTTTTGTGATTAACTTACTGTAAAATCCTGCTTCCATCATAAAAATCAAGGGTGGTTTCTAGTAGAGATTTTGTCTAGTTTGTGCATAATAATTAAATTTGGTCGTCATGGACAACAATCTAACGGGGCAAACCCCGTTCTGAGTTTAAAAAATAACGTCAATTTGTTTGATTATTTTATAACAGTAAAAACGCAATACTTAAAAACGGCTAATATTATTTTGATTATTGACATTTGTAAGAAATATTCGCATGCGATTTCCATTATATAGTTAAATACAATTACGCAAACATTTATTAATGTATAGCTATACCCATTCACGCAAGTGTTTTAATAAAACAACA